ATTTTTTTTTTGGAGGTTGGGGCCGGGGGAAAGGGGGGGGGGGGGGCAAGTAAGGCATGTTCGTTTGATCTATTTTTAGCGAGCCCATACTGGCTATCGGATATTACAGAATACCTTAAAAATAATTGAGGCGGCAATGAACTATTCGTTCTAACTTTTTTAGAAAAAAAACAAACAAAAAAAAAAAACGGAAGTATAGATATTGAGTCGTTCTTATTTCCTTTTTTATAAATTACAGCTACTCTAGCTAGCTGCATAGCTGTTGGAAAGTGTCCCGTCATAAGCGCTGCATTATAAAGATGTGTCAGGCATGGTGCAATTAATCGCGAAACATATTTTATCCGGCGACTTTCTATATTATGGGACTCGAGGCTATCCGTATATTTTAGACTTCTGCATATTGAAGAAACCTCAAGCTATTCAGTCGGTTCAAAGAATATTGATTCCGCCAACCTTTCTTTTAGAAGACCAAAAATGTCGGAATTGTAGTGGCTGTCGCCTATAGTCGAAAAAAAAAAAATAATTGCATGATGTAGCAAGACCTGAACCCGATAGCTCAGTTCCGTTGGCTGTTAAGCTTCTGATCACTGGGGTAGTAGTACGTCTATTCAGGAGCAGATTTAGACGCTTCCATTTTTCTGTGCGATTACTAGAAAAATGGTGAGGAAAGAAATTATTATAATAGACGTTTCTCGCCGATTTAATTGCCCCGTTTAGTCGGTTTCGTAAGGACTTGTATTCTGCTAGCACGGTAGGATTTTTGTTTGTAATAAACGTTGCAAGCAGTTTGTATTTCTTTTTAACGAGTGTAATTAAACGTCTAGTCAGCCAGGGTTTACGCGCACTTTCGCAGGATGTAATTTTTATAGTGTGAAAACATTCATTATATACCAATGGGAAAAGGTGTAGAAACCCGTTAAAAGCATAATCTGCAGCGGCCTTGTTGTCAATGGGGCTCTCATCCATCCAAGGCAATACGATTCTCAAAAAGGTCGAGTCTTTCTTGCAACAAAATGGTGAGTTGGGCCAGTTGGTTCATAATGGGAAAAACAAGCCCCAAAAGACTAGGACAAGGTAAGAAGACGACGACACATCTTGAGATATTAGCTGAAGACGCATTTTAGCGATCTCGTTCGGACGAATTCTGTTTTCTGTACGCAAGGAGATCGATAGGCGATTGCTAATATCGGCGGCAATAGGACCGGAAAAGAAATGTGTCGTTAATAGTAGTAATAATTTAATCTAAAATAGAAGCGGAAGAAGCTCTGATGCGCGTTGGATTGTTAATTACATTTTGAAAACTCGTAGAATGAAGTGTGAGTAACATTTACTGCAGCATTGGGTTGTTCGTAGCCATTCCAATATTAAAATTGTCAGCTTCGATAAACAAAGAGTCTTCAGAACTAAATAAAAAAAGTTTCACCTTCAAATGTCCAAAAAAATTCCTCGAAGTTCTTGTGAGGTGGTTGATAGACAACCGAGAATGTATTGCGCCCAGATTTCACGGCAGGCATTTCAGTATCACAGTTGGAAAGAGGGTGGTCAGATAGCGTATCACAGACAGCTACTTTTATCCGTACAGCATCGCCCCCGCCACGCTTTTCTGTGTGATTGATATAAAAAGAATTGCACTCCGGAATACGTACAACATCAATATCAGCCCGATACCAAGTTTCAGACAAAAAAAAAAAAAAATGGTATCGAAAATGCACGAGCAACGCGTTAGATCGCCAAAGAGAACAGTTAGCTCATCAGCTTTATTCATGGAAGATTACATATTAGAATAGATTTCCTACGCGGACTTGGCTCACTCCCGGAAAGCCGCTGTCGAGGTGAAATTTCTTTGTCATTCATCGACTTCTGGGCTTCCCCGAGGACGGCCTCATTGACGGCAAGTTCCTTTGTTTACTCCACTACGAGAGCAAGCTTGCCAGCTCAGCCGCAGGTGCTCCGGTACGTTTGATTTTTTTTTTTAATCGGCGTTCGAACGTTTGACGAATACCGATTCGATCTTCAAACACCCGACATGAGGATCGCAGCACACCATAAAATACTCGCACCCGAGTACAGCGTACATGCTTCAATATCCTGACTTTTCTGAGTTTCTCCCAAAGACTTGTGTGTATTGCCTGGTGTCAAGCAATGGCCGCCGGTGGCGACACCGACGGGCTCCCGATCCGCGATCCCGCCTACTACAATACAGATCACTGCCCACGGCTATTCTTATGGCAGCCTGCCGCCGCAGTAGAGTGCACTAGAAGGACCGAGTGGGGCGACCGGGGTGCTATTTAGGTACCTCCGCATATGTAAAAAACCGGCTCATCCAAGCCACTTCGCTCGTAGCGCCCTCTCGGGCACTACGAGCGAAACGGTTCGGATTAGCCGGTTTTTGTGAAAAACGCGTTGCTTTCCAACGCCAAGATCGTTCCAGGAGCGGCGGCGCCGAAAAAACGCTTCGGTCGTCTCACTCAGTCCTTTCTAGTACACTCTACGAAGGTGGCGCTGCGATCGAAGTGGCTTGGGTCCACCTGATGGCTTTCCACACTTTGAGGTGCTACTGAAAGCATGAGCGGAGCCTGTAGCTCGCCCCTTTCGTTTCTTCTAGTACACTCTAGCCATAGCGCTGTCCGCCATATTACTATGATGGCTAGAGATAATATAACTCTAACAAAAAGATGGCGGACCGTGGCCGCATTCCCGTCCATAGGCGGAGCTGGTGGATCTGGCCCACCTCAACGTTACTGGAGCAAGCTCAGTTTCACAGCTCCGTCTGCGACGTGGGCTCAGTGGCGGTCACGAGTACAAGCAGCGCTGCAGTCGAATCTTGCTTCCGGATTGTCTAGCCCGCCTAGTCTGAATAGCAATACTTGAGCTTGGGCGAGTTGTTGATTCATACTAACACTTCACAGCGCAAGGAAACAGGCGCTCACAAAAATAAATTCCCAACACTCAAAGAAAGAACACTCACGATGCGCTGACTCTGATCTCTGTGGTGTATTACACTTCATCTTCATCATCTTTTTTTGCTATTATAAACATGGAACTAAAAAAAAAAAGAAAGAAAAGGAAAAGCCAAAGCCGTTTACTGCCTGTAACGCCGAATAGACCTTTACGAAATTCAGTGCCATCTGGTGGCTCGTAAAGCGGTTAAGGTTTTGCGATATCAATGGCGGAAATGAACTTGTATCGGCACCGTCACTTTTGCAAGTCAACGGCACGCGAGGAATCGTTCAGTGTGAGTTTTTTCTCGATCGCTTTCAATTCGATGGTGACCAAGAACCTGCGTTCTTGCTCCAGCCCACTCAGATGCCTCAAGAAAATTGTATACGCCAAAGTGCTTTAAAGCCGATTGTGTGCTGCCCACAGATTGACTGAATCGGAATTATTAGAAATAAACGCTTACGTAGCTCTTCTGTTCCATTCCTATGTCGTGTCGTACTGATTCCCGAATGTACAGGCACTTATCATCCGCTTAGGAGCTTCTTCAACGTCGTCTTTTTATCAGTCACTAGAAGGCCGCCATTGGTATGATGATAGTGATCAAAGTGGCCAGACTGAATTTCGGAAAGGGTCTATTAGAGCGCAGCTCTTGAGGAGGAGGGAAGGGTACTGAGGGGAGGATATACCCCTTGCCTCCTCCTTCTCCTCCCCCTCCCCTCATTCTTCAATCTCCTCCGGGGGGTGGGGGGGTGGTCACATGACCTCGGGGGGGGGGGGGGGGGGGGGGTGTCACGTCACCTCGCGCTTACGCTGACGCCGACGCCGCTCAAGCCGGAAACGGGCCCCTGAGAGCTGCGCTCTCAAAGAAAAGGAAGCTCTGAACGCAGTAGCAGCAGACAACGCGCGAGACAGGGAAGCAAGACCCGACTGCAGCGCCGCTAGTTCTCGTGACCGCCACCTGGTCCACTTGCCCCTGCAGGTGAGAATAGGGAGCTGCGAAACTGAGCTTGCTCCAGTAACGTTGGCCCACCTCTGGGCGTAGCCATCTTAACGTCACGCGATCACTAGTGTGGCAAACAGGCAAGGTGGCGGCAACCGGGAGGAGGGGGTGCCATTTTTGGCCGCTGGTTTAGCGCTCTATAGGTTTACTCAAGCTCGTTGGTGTGCGCTAGCCCACTGGGCCACCGATCCCCCGCGAGCGCTCGATCGTTCTACGTAACAACGTTTCAAAGCAGCGACCTTGAGCTCTCGGGGTTGGGGCATTGGCTGCATTTTTAGCTCCACAGTTCTTCTGCAACATGCATTCTACACCATCAAGGTTGCCGTTCTTTGCAGGCGTTAGATAGGAACTTCAACTAACGATGCAGGGACCTTTGTCAGGCCAAGCATACGCAATTGCTGGGTACTGATTTCTACTTACGGCTTCCCCCGAGCCAGTACTTCTGCGCTGTGAAACTAACATGGTGAAGCGATCGCTCGTGGCACATAAAATACCGGCATGGCCGCATAGTACTGTCATGGGCAAGCTATGTATAGGCCATTAAGCGTACAGTCCTCGGATACTAGGCGAGATTGTCACGCGTTGAAGCCACCAAGCTGCAAGGCCCGCAACATCAGTATCCTTGGCCGTGCAGGAACTATTGACGTCACGAGCGCGATACGCGATACGTCGAAGCCGAGAGCTACTCGACGCACTCCCCTATTCCCTTTACCCTGCACTATGGTCAATAAAGCGCTTACAACAACTTTGCACTTCTCGGTTGCCAACTTTGAAGCGAGGGATGAAGAACTCGCGCTCACGTCATTTCGTTTCCGTGTGACCGGGTTTTTCGTCTAATGTTTCAATGCCTAATAGCATTCTAGGCCATGAGCTTGTTGCAATGTGCAAAAATACTTGGCCAGAATTTATACAGTGTACTACTTTGAAGTGATCGCGCAGGTAATAATCTAACGAAGTATATCTCAGCTTAACCGTTGCGCACTCCAGTCCGACCACGATGGTTGTGTTTGGGTGGCTGCAACCCGGGGCGCGTACTGCTAACGGCCCGTGTTGTTCGCAGGCGAGGCGAGTCGCAGCAGCCCTGGTGGGGCCGAGGCCAGCCGCCATTTCGACGACTATTGGAGCGAGTACGAGCACTTCCGCGTCGACGACGATGAAGATGAGGACCGCCCGCCGCCCGAAGGTACCTCGCTCTTCTCTACTCTTCCTCTGATGCAGAAAGAACTTCTAATGCACTCGATATATGAAAAGCCAATCGACAAAATCAATAGAATCTCGGGTTTTTATTTTTATACCTACCAACGACTGCAGCTGTAACTTCGTTTCTTGTAAAATAATTTCGCACTCACTTTAGCCGTAGCATTATTAAAGGAACCAAGAATAAACGACCTTTTGATTTGTATCAATATTATCATAGTCTCTGATGCCCTTAATAACAAAGACCTGCGTTGGTTTTAAGTCCCTCGTGCTATTGGGGAAAAATACTTTAAAAAAAATTAGACCGACCTCACTAGCCAGTGGGGAGGAAGAAGCAGCTACTGACGAAATCGGACGCGTTTTTTTGAGCTCCCCGAACAAAATGACCAGCACAGAGCTGCCGATTTCGGGCTCATTATTCGGCCTTCCTGGAGAGGTTTTCTCAACGGGAGAATTAGAAGAAAGGCACACTACTTCGAGCAACGTTCCAGCCGCCGATGCGAGCGGTCAGCCCGAAGCCATGGACACGAAGATTGCGAGCAACGCCGAAACCACCACTGTCGAGACGGGACCGGCAAGTCTTGCCACACCGTCACTGAAAAAGCCAACGCTGGAGTACCCTGCCGTGGTATGCTTCGGTGAGCGCTCCACAATTCCAAACACGGCTTTTTCAGTTGAACAGGCTTTAAGGTCCCTTCTCGCGAGTATCCGGCGAGGGAGCCTTATAGGCATATTCAGAAACATTTTTAGAGAAATCCGCGAAACTGTGCCGACCAAAACGAAGAAGAAATCGGCTTCAAAGAAAGCTCCGATAAACCCTCAAGGTAGAAAACAAACGCAAGAAGCGCCGGCCGCAGTCGGCGCTACGCCCACACCAATACAACGCCGCATACAGTGGAGAACAACCGCGCCAGTTCGGCACCTGCGATGACACTCCGACAACCAACGAACGCGGTCAGCGAGAAGCCAGCTGCTACACAAGCGGAACCTGAGGGCACGGTTGGCTGGACTCAGGTGTCGTATAAAAACAAAAAAAAAAAAAACGGGTCCGAGGGGACCCGAGTCAGCAAACTGCCGAGAAAGCCAAGCCAACCCGGCGCTGGCAGTACGAGTATAGGATCCGTTCGACTTGATCACAAGTCTTGATCAAGCCCATACTTTCAAAACTCAAAATGCACCTCACGGGCACTCATATCTCCACGGCCTTCACAATGCATCTTAGAGAGAAAGCTAACACGATTTCGGTCCGCACAGATTAGAAAGAGATAGCCGAGACCCTTGAGAATTCATAACAGAGATCGGCAGTGAAGAGAAAGGCAAGGTACCCATACAAGTCTTCAGGACCTATGGGAATACACACAGCAAGAGTGTTATATATGACATATCCCAAGGAAGAGGACTTGCAAGAAGACGTCCTCAGTTTAGAAATTGAGTTAGAAAAGCCTCCCGTGGTGGCCTCTCGAAGAGTTGGCAAGTCGAACACGGCGGTTCTCACGTTCGACGGAGAGAAGACGCCTCGACCCGTTCTTTACGGCAAGAGATCAATGCGGGTATTCCCGTTCAAACCAAAAGCAGGAACATGCGGGCACTGCCACTGTCCAGGACACGAGTTCGATATATGTCCGAATACGGCTATATGCGGAGCCGACCATCCAAGACCAACGGACCCGGCCCAGGGACCTTGGTGTACCGACCGCAAATGCCCCACATGGCAGGAAACCACAAAACACATGCAGAAAAACATCAAGAATTTCAGAGAACAGCACAAGCTGCAACAACAACAGGAGATAGCAAACCCAGCCGTCAAGACCCCGGTGCCTCCCAGTGAGAACCTATGGGCCAAGGTCAAGCAGGGTCTTTATAGCCACCACCGTTACCATAGCCAACGGCAGAAGCACAATAATTGCGCAACTCGGGCAACTTGCTCAAGGCAGAGCTAAACGGGCTCAACACCATCGTCTGGTCTCTGCAGGAGGAAAAACAAAAAGTAGGGAGGATAGGCCAATCATCAGCGGGCGCTCGCAGCCCAATTCTTTATGGGGGAATGATTAAGGTACCCCAGTAGAACTGTCAGGGGCTTCGCAAGCGGGCGTGGGGCTTCGGATACGACTCCTGGACAAGCCAGATGAACGTCCTGAAGTAATGCTGCTGCAGGAAACTAACACGTCAAGCATCAACTATAGTGGCTACACAGCCTACTCCAGCCCATCAATCACATCCAAGCGTCCAGGCCACTCGGCTTCCCCACCAGGCAAAGCTATCGTCTACGCACGGAGCGACTGGTATCAACACCAGGTCGACCTTACCCCATACTGTGATGAAAAACAAAAAGTGGTTGCAGTTCGCGCAACGGTGCAGCCGACGGACCACATTTGTGTGCCCATCTACTACAGACCGCTTAGAGACAAGACTCATACAAGAAAGCACAGATGGATCGCCCACCTGCACGATCTCCACCCCCGAGAACAGAAGCACTAGGGCGGAGATTTCAAACTCCAACACCAAACGTGGGCCTACGCGCAGGCTTCGCCAGGAGCGGAAGCCCTAATAAGTGAGGTGCAAACATTCCGCTTGCAATTGGCAAACAAGAAGGAGAACCAATACAAGACTGGGAGGGGCCGGACAGAAGAACACGACACCCTATCTATCATGGACGACAAATCAGTACATAAAGCATAACAAATGAAAGTGTCTCCTGGACCCATGGGGTAGCGATCAGTTCCCAATCCTTTTCGAGCTCTCGCTCAAAAAGAAGGCCAAGGACGTGACAAAGAAACGAGTGGCGAAGACCTTTCAGTGGGACAGGTTCAGGGACGCCCTGAAGGAAGACATATCAGAAGGGTCCAGCTCCGAGAGCCTCCTCAACAGCGCCCTGCAGGCAGCCACAATCAAGAAAAACATCGAAGAAGACGCTCTTAACCCTGATATTTCCCTTCTCAGCCTCTGGGCCAAACGACTGGTGTAGAAGAGCTGAAAGGGGGGGGCAAAACCCCACAAGGCAGGCGAGCCACTAGAGCAACGGTGGAAGCAAAGGTGTGTGCCCAAAAACTAGACTCACGCCGCTAGCTAGATTACAGCGCTTCACTCTCCGACGAGATCTCGATCACGAAGCTCTGGGCTACGAGTCGAGCCTTGCTCAGAAAAAAGAAGACCGAAGGAGCGACGTAGACACTAGCTCTCAAACTGGACAAGTCTGAGGAACAGTTGGTGAGAATGTCGGAAGATTTCGTCTTTCCTCATCCAGACCTAACCAGCTGCGCCTCTCCCTACTATCAACAAATTCTGGCTCCCGATCACGAGATGGACCGTCTCTTTACCCGCGGAGAACTTGAGTGCTGATCTTGCACACGAACGAAGACACAGAAAAGGAGGGCACGCATAAGCGCTGACTTGCAACTGGCTCAAAAGCTATAAAGCGAGACAACTTGACTCGTGCCAAAGACAACACGCGCGACCGTTCGTGCCTTCTACAGCGTGTGTGATGTCCCCTGATCCTGAAGTAATTGCTGAATCCTATACTGACATGCGGCAGAAGCTACGTCGGAAACACTGGGCTTTGCGTTAATGATCGCATTCGAAGACATCACCGCTCTTAGGAAGCAGTGGGGTGGTGGGGTGACCTTGCGTGCATTGCAGACGCCTTAGTTAAGCCAATGTTGAGCGAAATCGCAAAAAAAATCGAACGAAGGCGAGCTACAAGGGCCGGGTAAAAAAGGCTTTTGTGAAAAGGAAAACGGCTAAAGCGCAAATATATGATTGCATCGGAGGTTTAAATCGTATTGATGTGGTCTTGACCTGAAACATTCAAACATTTAATGATCTGAAAAAATTAAGCAGATTTGCTCTTACTTTACTTGCCACAAAGCAACATAAAGTATTTGTTAAGCGGAACTCTGTTATGATGTTTTTTAAACATTTTCCACCTTATTCATTTTGGTTAATAGTCGTATTGGCGCTGCCAGCGAGCAACTCAAGCACGCGACGAAACCCTATAGGGAGTATAGACGCTGTACACACGCGCCAGATTACAGCAGCCATTGCTGACCTTCTCTTGTCTTAGCCAGATGCCGAGCCACTGAAGCCTCCACGTTGACGAGCCTCCACAAAGGACAACGCTGGGTACGAGGACACGGTAGAATATAAAATGGCAATGACCTGCCCTGCTAGGGTAATGACGAAGTGAAGTAAACAGAATAAGAGGAAACAAAAACTGAAGGTCAGTTATGGCGGCGCCCTTGCACACCTGAGGTAAAGCGCCTATTCACTGGCGGCCATATCTGTGTGCGCGGCTGCTGAGCGCGTGCTGACGGCGAGCTTCCGCAGTTCTGTTGGAGCGTGCACTGTAGCACCATCAAGGTTGCCGGTCTTAGCAGGCTATTAATGTGAGCTCGTTCTGGGCATGCGCTCTGAACATCGCCCTCAAATATGGCGTCCAGTGAATACCTCCTATAGACCTAATGCTATATTACCCAAGCATCAAGGAGAATGCAGGGATTGCAGTTCCACGCGCCGCACGTGCTGGCCTCAGCAGTAGCAACTTTTCTAAAGCAAATACCTAAAACAAATGGCATCTTGCACGCGCGTTTGTCAACGCTTTATTTTGGTTATTTACTTCGAACCTTTTCTACGGCGAAGGCGTGCGCGTGTGGCGCGTGGAACACCAATCCCTTCATTCTCCTTGATGCTTCGGTAATACAGCAAGTGGTCTCTTGCAAACAGGGCATATGGCGGCGGCCATTATCCTCCTTGTGTGAGCAAGCGCGTGCAATTTGAGGCCAGCCAAAGCTATCGCGCGCATGCTGCACGTGCTTGCACGCATGGGGCACCGATCGGGGCGCCGTGCTTGCAAACGTGACTAAGCCGGCATCGCGAGTGTCTCTGCGCTCGTGTCCCCCTATGGGCCTCCAACGCAGGGGCCCGGTATCTAAAATTCTCTATTGCTGAAGTTGGAAGTTTGCTCAACGGCCGTGAATGCCGTCTTCTTCTTTTGCCGGAAGATTGAGGCTGAACACAAACCGAACAGAGACGACGCTGCTGCGTCCAATCCGGGAAGGTACTCCCAGAATTGTTCGCTGATGAACGAGCGAGAAAATACGCGCAGCAGAATTTATGTGCATGGCATCTTTGCTTCCTACATGTCCTATAGTCGGATGCAAGTTAAGAATGCTCTAAATTTAAACGCTTTCCCCGAAAGCGACGAAAAAAGGCGCTGTTAGCAATTTACGTCCGAGCGAACTTCCAGTCAATTGAGAGGACAAACAATCCCCACCATAGAACCACTTCTTGTAACGTTCATGAAATATTTTATAACCAGTTCTTGAGGAAGTTAGCTAAAGGACCGGTTAGTGAGATACTTGTTGGAGATTTTTTAATACTCCCGTACCATCACCTCTTATATGTTGAATGGCTGGGCAGAAGGCCCTCGCTAAACTCAACCTTGGAGATTTTTTAATCGTCCCAGAAAATTTCACACCAACGAACTCGGAAGCCCTGTTGCAATGGAGCGATCGGAAGTCTCTTGCGTGGGCAGCCAGAGGCGGCTTTCGTTCTAAACAGAAGCAGGGTCTATCGAATCGCTACTCGGACCAAACAGGAAAACCCATAACGAGTTATGCGACGTCCGCTGGCGACATGCAAGTGCACTCGGCGGCCAGACAGGCTGGTCCTTTTGTTGATTTTGTGCCACCCCTAAATTGGCCTCTCCGAGTGCATGGTGCCTCGCATCCAGAGCTGCGAGCCATTGGCCAGCTGAGGAAGGAGGGCGCAGCAGTCTGGATGGGCGTTTGGTTGACTCTGTGTGCTCCTTTCGTGCAGAGGAGCAAGACGCAGACTGGCTCCGGGAAGTCGGCCTGGACTTCGTGCTCCGGGACGGTGAGTGGCTCCTGTCTGCCAGACGCCAACACTAGTTGCCAGCTGAAGAAACGCTCTAATCAGCCAATGAGATTGCGGCATTATATAGACTCCGACGTCACTCCGCTGCGCTGTTGTATTCTGCGCATGTGCTGTGCATGTGCAGTGCCCACACCCGACAAACGCCGGTTTGACAGCGTGTTGGCCTATTCGCTCTTCCTCGCGCGAGTTCAAACGTGGTGGCGCCAGCGTGCGCCCTGCACAACTTTTCTTGGCATTTCCTGGGAGAGAAGGACAGCACGCGCACAGCTTTTTGCTGCGCTCAAAATGAGAGGGAGAACGCGTGCCTGTACCTTCCACTGCATTGCCAAGAAAAGTGGTCGCGGAATATTGACAGCGGGTTTGGCAGCAAAATAACATATACACGCTATCCTCCGGAAACGGCCACTTATAGCAATGCCAGACTTCATTCACTCTTACAATTAAATGATGGTTATTAAAGAAAATTGGAAATATACGTGAACCGGAAGTATGCCGAGGCTACCCAATAGATGGCGCCACTGAGTTTGTTGCTAAACAAAAAAGTGCGGATAGGGTCACATGACGTCAGTCCCCCATTTTGTTGTAGCATGTCAACGTTATGAAACCAATAAGCTTTTGTGCACTACCAATTTGGGGGTGTGATGTGAATCTTCGCAGTGCTCGCCTTTTGCGTGCGCCAGACTGCTCGTAACAACAAAATGGCGAACGAGATGACGTCGGTGAAAACGCCCTATACAACGATGTAAGATATATACACCTTTTCCACAAGGGCGCCGCCATCTTGAATTGTCGTCACTTCCAGTATGGGCGAAAACATTGTTTTGCCGTCGCCACGTCAATAGAAGACATTTAGGATATAAGCCTAACCGTCACACATTCTCGTTTTGGCTCCCCTCTATTATTTTGCTAGTTACAGGTTGAAACGTTTTATTATTTTTTCGTCGCCCATACTGGAAGTGACGACAATTCAAGATGGCGGCGCCCCTGTGGAAAATGTCTATACATAAGTGTGGACATCGCGCGGGTCTTAGCTGCCAGATAATGCATGCCTCGGTTGCAAGCGGCGCCATCAGGTGCTTAAGTACCTACGTAAGAGCTTCGTACAAGTAGCGACATTCTTTGAAGCGCCGACTGCGTGACGGTGCAGGTTTCAGGAAGCGAATGGCGGCGCACAGCAGAGGTTTGAAGTGAATGCCGCCAGTTTGTTCCAGCGCAATGTGTTTTGTCATTTATATTGGCTGTTGTTACTTAAACAAGAAGTTTCAAGGGACTTACCAGGTGCGTCATCGGTACGCGGCTAGTGGCAGCCTATGGCGGGCCTGGTTTCCCAAGCTTCTATATGAGAGATGCGCTTGTTTTTAACGTCATTTGCTGAGTGCCCCGCGTCACGGAGAACTTGGTACTTACGCTGCGCCTATTGGCATGGACACTGCCTCGTCAGTGACCCTAGTTTCGTCCCTCAACGACGGCAAGAACTGTTTTATGAACGCGTTCAAGAAGAGAGGTCTCTGGCGCGGTGTTCAAGCCAGCGTCCTTCAAGAGCAGACGCTCCGAACGGAAAGAGCGCGAGACCTCCTAAAAGTGTTCTTCGTAAAAAAATCAAACGGGTCCTTTTAAGCTCTTTTTGTGATGCGAAAGAGTTCTTCAACGCGCAGTCGCTTTTCTAGTGCGCCAGGGAGCGATAGTGCTTGAGGCAAAACCGTCTTTCACGAGTTGAAAGAGTTTTTGGGGCGTCGAAGAACCTTTTAAGAACGGACTTTTTTTAGAGTATAAACAAGGGGCCTCTAACTTGGATGGGGCGGCATATAGCCCAGCCCCACAAGGTCGAGGGCCGACGTAAAGCGGGGAAGGGGGGGAAGGGAATTTTTTTTTTTTAGTAGAAAAACAACTAAAGAAAGTTACGGTTTTTATGCTACAGAGTAACCGAGTCTCTCAGCGATACATTTAATTGAGAGTTGAATAGGGACCTCGTGCTCTCTACTTTTTGTTAACTCTTCATTTTATTTGGCACAGCTTTAGCTTTGGTTTCTTTATGCGATTACTTTGGGTCTGTTGCTGTTGCGATAAGGTTTAAGCCGCTACACGTGCTTGCATTTTTTACCAGAACAAGGGAGCGAACACATTCTCGTTGCCGTGTTGCTGAATTCCCTCGGGAAAAAGCAAGTTCAACGTGTCTAAAAGGGAAAACTCCCCATACGACTGTTTTTTTTTATCCTGACAGTTTTTATACCAGCATAACGAGAGAATCATTGTGCATTAGTGGTATATCTTGACTGCTAAAAACCCGAGCTCATAGCTTTATCTTTGGAAGTTGCTCCGGCTGAACGAGAGTTCGTGGGCCGAGCTGCCTCCTAAAGAGCTCTCGCTTGTAGTATGGGACTGCCGTGCAGGGGAGTATCATGTGCAACAGCTGAGGAGCAAAATACAAAACGAAATGATACTCGGTAAAAAAAAGCGGAATAAAAAACAAACAAACAAACACATGAGGGTGTCACAAGAGTAGAGGTTTGTTTATGCGTAAATGAACTGACGTCATGAGACCATTACTTATGAGGCATATAGCGCTCCAGCATAATAACGGTGTTCGCAGCTGCTCGATGTGTGGGCGCCGCATCCCGGCGAGTCGCGGGCCGCGTGTTTGAGGCCCCTGATGTAGACCATGGCCTCGTATAATTCATGGGGCGCCATATTGTTGGACGTTGGTGACAGCGCATGCTCACAAGTAGCCCCCATTTATCGTCTTCCAAGAACACTGAATGTGTGGACGTTGGACGTGCATACTCGTGTACCTGGCAGTGAAGACCAAGGTATAAGCGCGTGCGTACCTTGATCGCCGACCAAAGCAGCGCACGCGCGGTACTTCTTCTGAAATACTCCCAAAAGTTGTCCCCGAGTATAGTTTTGAGCATGTGCTGCGATTTCAGTCCAACAATATGGCGTCCCCTGTGAGATGAGCAGCAGAACCGGCCGCCATATCTGGGAGGGAGAGCGAGGGGGACCGGTCACTCAGCGTCGAAAATATCCTGCGCCCTGCTGCGGTGGACTGGACGGGAGCTCATTGCCTGGTTCGGCATAACAGGCTCGAAGGGATGCTGTGGGTGTTCTTTGTTTCCCCGCGTTGTGGCAGGAACGCCACAAGTGCATGATTCATGAAAGTGGAAATTTGGGCCAGTTGGTTCACGATCAGGTAGGTAGGCGCCAAAAACACAACGACAAGAAGGTACGCGCCCTAAAAAAAAAAAAATGTATTTAAAAAAAAGAAAAAGCTACTTCTATATATAGCGGTGGCAAACACAGTCACGGCTAAACAGACCTTGCATTCCAGGGCTCGAATCGAAGATGATTCTCACAAAAATGGGCTCGTTGAAGGAGGGGCTCAACTGCGATCATGTCATCGAGTGCAGCGTTGCACTAGGGGACAGTGTTCGCATCGTCGCGTGCTCCGCGCTGTATATACCCGGTTCCAAAGCATGCTTCGAGCACTGCGGTATGCAGGGAGTGCGCACCATATCGCTACAAATCAATATGCCGCGAGCGTGGAAACGATGCGGCGTACGCTTGGCGAGTGTTGGAGTTGTCTGCCACACAGTGATTGTTTGGGGTGATGATGATGATAATGAAACTGCCCCCCTATAGTTCCATCTGCTCGCCAATAGGGCCCTTCGCAAGCGGCAAATCAGCCCGTACTCTTGGGACGCCAGCACACGCCACGGGCGGAGGATCGTCAACTGATTGGCCCCAAAGAAGTCCCTTGGCTACGGGCACCCTTATGCTGGTCGTGTGAAGGGGGCTGGGGTCCTGACAAATTCATGGTTGCTCCAGGGCTAGCACCCTAGCGGTGTTACGCACCGCCTTAGGATGCTGGACCCTCAAAATGGGTTGCACGCGATCAAGTAGCATCGTCCCAGGGACGTTATTTTTTCAGAGAAACGAGTTACCAACCGACATACACCACATGCGATTGTTACATGCACAGAAAAGGCAAATACAGACGTAATGAATCGCGCATGAGTGAGGAATCATGACCCTGGTGACGGCTCAACCGCCTTATGTACTCGGCAATTAAACAAATGCTCATTCGCAGCTGCCCTCCAGATTTACGGAGGTTAGACATATGTTGCTTCGGTTCTGCACGGGGCTCACGCCTGGCGCTCTCTCGTGCCCGCGCAATCTCGAAGAGCTCTCAGAAAATCGACCGGACCGGCCCTTCGCCTTTTTCTTTGATCCTGCTTTGCAGTACGCTCATTAAACCCTTCTTGGGTCCTACCACTGCCAACGTTTCCTTCGCCTACGTGACATCTGGTGGAGGTGCGGGGTACGACGTATGCCCCGGACTCCTCTTAGCAGCCGAGATAACAGTCCTCGCCGACCAAGCCCCATTGACGTCACCCCCGTGCACTGCAGAAGCCGTCGCCTCCAAGGTCTGTCCCCGGAGTGCGGATTTCTTTCTGTGAAGAGGACAAGAAAAACAACAATGGCCAACAATCGGGAAGAACGTAGACTACCATCGCCGGTCATGTTCCAACGATTACGGGACCCCCCTTCTTTTCACGGGTTTCCGCAAGAAGAGGCCGACGACTGGCGGCAACAGTTCGAGCGGGTGGCTGCCTTTAACAGGTGGAGTACTGAACAAAAACTCAACCATGCGTTTTTCGCCCTAGAAGACTCGGCAAGGACGTTGTTTGAGAACCAGGAACGCCTACTGATAACGTGGGACTCGTTCGCGGCTTGCTTTCTGCAAGCATTTTCCACGGTCCTATGAAAAGAGCGAGACGAGCTGCTGCTCCAAACACGTCTTCAGCACCCCAACGAGACAGTGTTGGTCTTTGTTGAAGAAATGAAGCGTTTGTTCCGGCGCGCCGACCCCGACTTGACCGAAGACAAAAAGCTCCGGATCCTTATGAGGGGAGTGAAAAAACAGCTCTTCGCCGGACTGGTACGCAACCCTCCAAAGACTATTGTGGAGTTTGTCGCCGAGGCTTCAACCATTGAGCGGACCCTTGACATGCGAACGAGGCAATACGATCGACAGGTGCCAGCGATTTCCGCCACCTACGCCGAAACCCGTGTAGTTGACGCCCAGACGTTGCGGGACACCGTTCGAATCGTCGTGCGCGAAGAGCTGCGGAAGCTATTTCCAACGACGCAGCAACCTCAAGCCTCATCATTGTCGGAGGTCATACGAGAAGAACTGCAGCAAGCGTTGAGCTCAATGGATATTTCACCAGACGCCCGACGACCCCAGGCTATGACGTATGCTGCCGCTGCTCGTAGACCTGCCCACCTCCCGAACCCTCAATGGGCACCATTATCAGATCACCATCCGCCTCCCGCCAACACTTTTCCTGCCACCCCACGACGCCCTGGCACGCCGAAGAGCGAAATCTGGCGCACGCCTGATCACCGCCCTCTTTGCTTTCACTGTGGAGAAGCCGGTCACGTATACCGCTTCTGCCCATACCGCCGACTTGGACTTCGAGGTTTTTCTAGCGACGCTCCACGCCCCCGGGTTGGAGAGCGACCACAAGAAATCCAACACTATTTTGCTGAGCCTGGGCGAGGACCCCGGCGCTTCTCACGGTCTCCATCGCCCAGTCGATCTGTTTCGCCACAACGCCGTCCCTCTTCAGAAGGCGCGAGACGCAGGTCGCCCAGCCCCGGTAGGGGAAACTGAGGGCAGCAACCCCTGGAGGTGGGGTTGCTGTACAGCACGGTCACGAACATCCTCCCAACCAGCACCGACGCAGCCGCGATTCGACGTCACGACGTCCCGACGACGCCCTGCCGACCACTGCCGACCTGAACGTATCTCTCGACGGACGCAACATAAACGCTGTCGTCGACACGGGCGCTGACTACTCCGTTATCAGCGGACAGTTTGCAAGAGCTCTAAAGAAAGTGACGACCCCCTGGGACGGCCCTCTGATTCGTACAGCGGAAGGTCATCTTGTGACTCCCAGCGGACGATGTACAGCGAGGGTTACAATCCGCCATTTCACTTATCCTGCGACGTTCGTCGTCTTGCACCAGTGCTCGCGGGACGTTATCCTGGGTATGGATTTTCTTCTTGAGCACAGCGCTGTCATCGATCTCAAATCAAAGTCTGTCACATTTTCTACAGAGCACGCCATCCCGCCCAACGTCCAGCCGACGTCACTTACACTACTCGACGAGCATGTTATGTTACCACCCCGCTCAAGTGCCCTTGTCTCTGTAACAGCTGCCGTATCCAGAGATTACGAGGGAGTCGTTGAAACCAACAGATCTCTGCTGCTTCAACGAGGAATCTCGGTTGCGAGGGGAGTCGCCCGCCTTAAACAAGGACAAGCGATTATCCTGCTAACAAACTTCACTTCGGAATACCAGCATCTCAGCCGGGGCACCTCACTTGCTTCCCTAGAGGACACCGCAGAGGTCAGTAATGCTCTGACCCTCTCCGATACAAGCTCGACAATTTCCGTAACGGAAGAGGCTGCTCCCGCATTCGATGTAAACCTTGCGTTGTCTCGGGAAAAACAGGACCGACTACAGCACCTACTTCAACGCTACCACGACTCTTTCTCATCCTCTTCGAAAATCCGGCAAACCCGGATTGCGAGACATCGAATCATAACTTACGAGGACGCACACCCCCTCCGACAATCTCCTTATTGAGTTCATTCAAGGAGCGCGAGGCAATTCAACATCAAGTTAAAGAGATGCTTTCTGACGACATTATTCAACCCTCGAAAAGCCCTTGGGCATCGCCTGTCGTTCTTGTGAAGAAAAAAGATGGCACCCTCAGGTTCTGCGTTGATTATCGTCGGCTAAACAAAATCACTAAGAAGGACGTGTATCCTTTGCCCCGAATCGACGACACTCTAGACCGATTAAGCCACGCGAAATACTTCTCTTCGATGGACCTCAAGACGGGATATTGGCAGATCGAGGTCGACGAGAGGGATCGGGAGAAGACAGCTTTCATAACCCCCGACGGGCTGTATGAGTTTAAAGTCATGCCCTTCGGCCTCTGCTCAGCGCCAGCAACGTTTCAAACAGTTATGGACACTGTGTTGACAGAGCTCAAATGGCAGACCTGCCCCGTATATCTCGATGATGTTGTCGTGTTCTCCACGCGCTTCCATGAATACCTACGGAGACTGGAAACGGTACTCGAAGCAATTAAGTCTTCAGGACTAACACTTAAGACGGAGAAGTGCCACTTCGCTTACGAAGAACTAAAATTTCTGGGACACATTGTTAGTGGAAGTGGAGTTCATCCGGATCCCCAGAAAACTGCAGCTATTGCACGCTTCCCGCAGCCAGCCGCCAAAAAGCTGTTCGTAGGTTTCTAGGCATTTGCGCTTATTACAGACGTTTTGTCAAGGGCTTTTCTCAACTTGCCGAGCCCCCCATGTGCTTGACGCACGATGATGTACCGTTTACCTGGGAGTCAGAGCAAGCAGACGCGTTCCGGGAGCTTCAGCTGCGCCTACAGTCGCCCCCGTTACTGGCCCACTACGACGAGAACGCCGAAACAGCAGTTCAACCGACGCCAGCTCTGTAGGCCTCGGCGCCGTTCTTGTTCAACACCAGAACAGACTTGAGCAAGTTGTCGCCTGCGCCAGCCGCGCTTTGTCAAAAACCGAAAAAAACGAAAAAAAAAAAAAAATCGCCCATACGATTCCTTGCCATCGTATGGGCGATTTTCAAATTTCGCCCCTACCTATATGGCAAGCCTTTCAAGGTAATCACTGATCACCACTCTTTGTGTTGGCTCGCCAGTTTAAAGGACCCCTCCGGACGCCTCGCACGCTGGAGCTTGAGGTTGCAGGAGTTTGACTTCATAGTCCTACACGAGTCGGAACGCAAACACTCCGACGCCGGCTGCCTTTCGCGTGCACCTGTCGACCCACCACCAGAAAACACGGACGACGAAGACACGTTCCTATGTGCGATTAGTGCTAGTTTCTTCGCTCAGCAACAACGAGCTGATCCAGACCTAAACAAGCTTATCGACTACCTCGAAGGCAAAACCACCACAGTCCCAAGAGTTTTCAAGCGCGGCGTATCGACATTTTGTCTGCGAAACGACATGCTCGTAAAGAAGAGCCTTGTGCCTGCTCCACGAGTGGTAACTTTAGAACAATACTACGCTTTTCCCGCGACGAAAGTCTTTCTGAAAATGACTGATTTAGTGGTTCTCGATAACGCTGAACAAGTTTCTAATTGGAACCATATGTCTATTTGCATTAATTAAAAAGTTAATTAACGAATTTTAATTAATTAGATGACTGATCGTTACAATTAGCCCCCTATAAAATGTCCCCCTGGCCATATAACTCACCTCCACAAGCGGCATAAGTGTAACTTTCACGGCTTTTTTTAAACAAAATATATATATATATATATATATATATATATATATATATATATATATATATATATTTATATATACAGCGGCGCAGACTTTCCATTTTCCCGGGGGAGGGGTGGGGAGGCCCCCCCCCCCCCCCCCCCCCCCCGATGCGCACTGGGATTGTATTTCCCATGTACTTTGATAATAAAGGTAACGTATGCATTATTTTGTTTACATGCCACTACTAGAAACTCGTTACATGGCACGTAAACAGCGTCTCGGTAAGGATCATGGCCCAGGGGGGGGGGGGGGGAAGGGGGGGGGAGGGCGCAGAGCCCTCCCTGGATCTCACCACGGAGGGTACGAGCCCCGTGCACCCCCCGTAGTCTACGCTTATGTATATATATATATTATGATGGATTTTTACTTGGAGATACATTCTTTGAACGTAGATATATCGTGCATATATATATATATATATATATATATATCCGTTCTCATCATGTCGGTTTACTGGTGAGAACAAGAAGGAAGCCGGTTGGGGAGCGCTAGTTCGAACTCCATGCTGCGGAAAGTCCGCGAGAGTGTCCCTGATGAGGGCCTTTGTTCCGCAGAGGGAGGCGAGTCCGGGGCCCAGACGTGCCCGGACCTGCTGCGCGTGCCGTACCTGCGCACGCTGAGCCGCGAGCAGGCGGCCGCCGTCCAGAAGCGACTGGACACGGTCACGCTGCGCCGAAAAAAGCACCCGCCCAAGCTGGACGTCCGGGAAGTCTTCGGAAGGCCCTCCTGGATACAGGTACGGACGACCCTCTGGGCGGCGCCATTTTCTTCCTCTGCAGCGCCGTCTACTTTGACTCGGAAGGACGAAGGAGGGCGCCGCTTGCACGCGCCGGACCGCTGGAGCGGACAAAGTCCTTCCGCCGATCTTGGACTGTCCGAAGGGCGGGATTTTAGGGAGTTTTCCTAGATCGTGCTTCCTCCTCCGCAACGAAGAAGCCGCCACAGCGCTTACGCGCTGCTAGCCTCGTCTGCAGAATTTCGGATCTCAGTTGCGTGGCGGGACAGCGGAAACCAACTACGAAAACTCCCTATTGGGCTCTCTCTCTCTTTGAGTTATTTTGGAGGCTGATTTCTCTCTGCAGAGTACCGCACTTGCGAGGACCATAGTTTGCGTGCCCAGTGCCTATTATGGAAAACTCCAAGAACGTAGGAAACAGGAATAACTGAATAACGGCCTCGGAGGAGCATGTGCGATACGACGTAAGGAACATGAATAGAAACTGCTCCGGAAAAGATAATCGCGTTCTGGTTTTATTAGAGGAAATGTGCCGCGAACAAGCGACAAATTTTGCCCGGCGGTGGGCACATTGGTAGTCTAGCCCCATGCCATGTTGTGTCGCAAAATACTTGGTCCTAATTGCGAGCCATAGTTGCCTTGTGAGACTTGGGAAATCGAGTCATGAGGCCGCGCTTATACAGTTGTCCTCGTTCGCCTCGAGGGTCAGAGACTCCAGGATCTCCCTTGCAAGCTGTTTATTTCTTGTCTCGCAACTACGTTTGAAAAATCAGGAGCACATTGGAATTGGAACGGGGACGATTGTGTAGGCGCCGCCTCCATTGCTCTATTTTTCCAAGAAAAGCTGTATCTGCAGGGAGCGCCCCATGTGAGCAACAAAGTCGGGGGCAGCGCTATCCATCAGGGATTACACCGAAGAAGTAACCCCTGGGAACGCAACGTTTTAATTCATGCGTGCCGATAGTCCAGCAGTGTGCGCCTCTTTTTTCTCCCCTTCTACGTTCAGCTGGAAACCTTCCGAAGCATGTCAAACCATCCAGCCCAGCTGCAGGCAGTCACGCCGAAAGATCCGAATTACGCCCCTGATCTCGCCACCCCCGGTCTCCTTCCGCACGATAAAGTCCGTCGGTTATGGTCAGCGTCACCATGGCAACGCAGCGTCTTCTTGATAGAGGAACGCGCGAACACAGCGTCGGATGCACGGAGTAGTTTGAAGCCAGCAATGGGAGACGCAATCTTTCGAAGGTCGTCTGCCAGCATGAACGCCGCAACGCTAGCGAAACGCGGACGCGCCATTGTGGAGGACAACGCTGAGAGCGGAAAATGATCGTCCGGCGAACCCTTCACGGTTCCATCGAGGCTTGGTGCACGCTCGGGCCTGAGATGATAGGGAGTTTAGCAGATCGTCTTCAAAGGCCCGCTACCGCTATATGCGGGCGCGCGCTTCAGAGCCTGAATCGAAGTGGCCGCGCGAGCTCCCGATGCAAATAGCGTGGCCTGAAAACACGATCTACTGAAACGCTTATATTAGGGAGTTTCGTAGATGGGGTTTTCAGGCCACGGTGTTTGTAGCGGGAATTTGCGCTGCCACTTCAATGCACGCTGTGAAGCGCGCGCTCGTAGCGGTAGTGGCCTTTGAAGACGATCTACTAAAACTCCCTACAGGGAGTATTCACTGTTGGTCATAGCTGTGTGTGCGACTGCTCAGCGGGTGGTGATGGCGACCTTCCACTGTTCTTTTGTAGCTAGCATTCCGCACCATCAAAACTGCCGGTCTTAGCAGCCTAACATTGGGAGCTCGTTCTGGGCATGCACTTTAAACACCGCCCTCAAATATGGTGTCCCGTATACATTAAAGCTAGCGCGGTTTGTTTGGCAGCCTAGCTTGTGGCTGAATATAGCGTTGCCGCGTTGGAAGTAGACGGCATTTGGAAAATGGCGCAGCTGTAGTTGGCTTCAGAGATCTGTATTACAAAGAGTGGCCAGAGCCGTATATGTAGAGAGTTTAGCCATTCGTTGGGAAGTATAGGAGACAAATGAGGAGGCGCCATTGGCCGAAAGCGGGCTGGGCGTGTTCCAGGACGTCTTCAGAAATTCGAATGTGGCCAACCAGAAGCCGGAAATAATACCCTGGCGGTGGTCGCGAGAAACAAACCTGATAACTGCATTGGAGTAACTCTCGGTGACTGAAAATATGCTACACGTGATGTTTCAATCACGCTCATCCAAAATGATGGTGGAAGAGTGCGATTAGCGGAACGAGCGACATGATCCTTACGCCAAGCGCCGAGGACCGGGAATCTGCCGTCCCAGCGGTCAGACACTGTCCGAGCAAAGCAGAGTTGAGCGGCGCATTCGTTTCTTACATCTTTCTGCTTGATAATGATCGAAACATCACGCGTACCCTATTTTCAACCACAAAGAGTTACTACACTTCACTCTTACGGGCTTATTAAAACCATATACGAACATATACCTTTGATCAGAACTGTTTCTCGCTACCACTGCTAGGGGATTCTTTTCGGCTTCTGGTTGGTCAAGAGAGCATGCCAAGCCCTCTTTTCGTGTCTGGTGCACGCCCTGACTCTGCCCGCGCCTCCCATTGACCAAACTCTCTCTATACACGGCTCTAAGAGTGGCCAACTGCTCCATCGGGGCCGCGTGGTTTGCAATACGAGCTGCTAGGAGGCGACGATTGTCTGCGAGCGTCTCCGCCTTTCCACCTGCTTTCCACCCCGCCACACAAAAAACGCAGCGTATGCGCACTGGCGACCCATCTCCGCCGGTGGCGGTTGCCGTTACATTGCGAACGGTCTCGCATGTTTTGAGACGGACCCTCTCTACAATCTCCCTAGCTTCAGACACTGCGTTCGCGTGCCCGTCTATGGACATGCGCGGACCATAGCAGACGGATTTTATTGCGCGGAAGGAGACGGTAGGAGAGCGAGATCAGGCGTTGACTTGGGATATTTCACCGTGCTTTTCAATGGGCCGAACGTGAACAAAAAGAGTTTGACATAAGGACTTTACGCACATTGCTGACTTTCTCCGGCGCCTAATATTGTTACGAGCCCTAAACGAAAAACATGTTATTCTTGGCCATCCGAGGGCCGTTTTCTGTCCCCTGGAACATGGGACTAACCTATGAAACAGCCAGGCGGCGCTATACGTACACCATCAGAACAGTGGCTGTTCACGCCGCGAGCGAAGTCAACCCGCAGTCGGGCGGTGTTCGTTGGTTGTTTGACGAATATTCGCTCCATGGAATCCAGCCCTTGAGTACTGCGTACTCACCGATGGATGTAGCCTGGACAGAGTATCAGTTGTTTGGACCTAAGCAAAACTACGAGGCTTGATGTTTCTCGCTTTGAAAGGCCAACGGGCGTGAGGGCTCGTCTTTAACTCCTAAAACATTTAAACTTGCGCTGCACCAGAATTTTGTATGGTGTTTGATAAACGCGACTGCAGACTACCAAGTTGCTTGAAAAGCGGTCCAATCGAAGTGAGAGCAGAGTCAGAGCCGTCGCGTGTCTGCCTCCAGCAGGCAGAGGATGGTCCCGACGGCCTGGGAGGACGGGCCCAGTGGAGGGTGCCGGCGGCGCACCAGCCGTCGGTGCCCCGGCCCGCGGTCTACCCGAGACAGCCGTCGTCTTCGCTCTGGAAAACCCACAGGCACCAGTACGAGCTGAAGTCCACCGACGCCGTCGCCACGCCGGATGCGGAGGGTGAGGGCCGGCTTCGGGCGCTGCTCGCCCGCTCATGCAGAGGCATCTGCTGGAAGCCTCGGAGGGAGAGCGTAAACTGTTTCGCGAAAGCCAGCTTCGCCACAGAGCTAGTCGGTCGAAGCGGATGGGACCTCAGTGGGGCAGTTCACGATGCGTGCTTGGCTTGAATTTGCCACTGAACAGAATTTAGTTGTCTAAAGTCTCGCAACAGCTATAACATTTTTTTTTTTTTTTTTGACGATGAGTAAGAAATTTGTCATAGGAAGATGCCAGATAGGGCAAATATTTCGAAAGTTAATGAGCTGAATTTATAAAGTTAACTCGCCGATTATCGCCTTGTGCTCGTTACCTGACATCCGCCGCTGTGGATACTTTTATCCTGAAGGAATACTTTTTCTGATTTCAGGTGCTCCTTTTCGTTTATTCTCAGTTACGGGGAAACACGTCGTATAATGTGCATTCATTTTCCCCCTCATTTTACTGGTTCTTCGGCTCCTTGTGCCCCCTAGCTCTGGTCCCTTTTGTGTCTCTGGAGTTGCTCGGCGAGGTAGCAGATGAGGGATCGTGCAGGTTGTCCTCCCTGCCCCAGCCTGGCGCTCTTTCCGGTGCCGCAGGCGTGGCCGTCATCGGGTACCGGATGAAGGGCACGGTCCGCCACATCCCGGAGCCCGCGTACAGAGACGTGGAGGAGGAGCCGGACGAGTGCCCCGTCCCGTCCCTGATCGACTGGACGCTGGTGAGCCGCTCCCGCCTCGCACAGGCGGCCTCTGACCGTCGCTCGCCTCGTCCTTGCAGCAACCAGGATTCAGCGAGTCGTACGCCTTGGAGCACCCGGACCAGGAACTCCCCGTGAGTGGAAGCCGTGTCGCTCTTTCGCAGCTTTCGCTCCGAGCCGCGCACTCCGAGGTTCGGCTGCCCGCGCTCATGCATGCCAATCGGGCGAATCGAGGCGCCGGCCAGATGGCTCACGGAAAGGAAGAAACAGCGCGCGCAGGACGAAGACACAGAACGAGCAACTAAACGGGACAAACGCCCAACTCTCAACGTTCGATGAAACTACGTAACAGCCATCAGCTCGGTCAGGTCCAATCATCGCGTGTCCAAACAAAAAGCTATCGCCGTGCTACGCAGATGAACGGAAGTTTGACCGATACAAATATCTCCCTTTGACATATTTATAGCTTTCGGTAGCTCCCTCGTCATTTCACCCTCGCCCCTCGCAACAGTCGTGTTGGGCCAGTTGTGGAGTGCGCCGTGATCGTGGTACACTCGCGGCTGTAATATGTGCACGGTTTTATTTCGTTTTTTTTTTCGGAGTGACCGATAATGTTGACACTTTTTGTGTGAAACAGAATCTATGCACGGCGTAGAAAGGTCGGCGGCTGCGTTGCGAAGAATTTCCCCGGAGAAAGATGAGGCACCCTATGGGGGAATTTCTTCGGTGGATTTTGAGCGATCCGAAGCGCCCCGTGCTCGGGCCTTAGTGCGCCAAGCGACAGCGCGGGCTTGCACCCGCAATAAGGTACGAAAAAAAGAAAACGCTTCAAAACTCTATCGAAGGAATTTCCCATTAGTCTATGCACCCACTCTTGTACACGTTACTCGAAAATAGTAATCTATTACGATTACACTTGGTTAAAATTACTTGAAAATCAGAGTATTCGGCCGTTACTTTGAAAAAGTAACCGATGCTTTTCCGATTACTTCAGATCTTTAGAACTTTTCTGCCGGTTTGAAGATGGGTATTTTGTACTGTCCAATAATGACTCGGAATAACCGAAATCTCAGCAACGTTTTAATCCGCGAATGTCGGTAAACTATCCTCCTGTCGGAGACTTGGTTCGATGATTTTAATTGGAAAACCGTCACAAAGGGGGCGGTGAGAAAGAGGAGGAAAAGTTACTTTTACTACTTCCAAAAGTAATCACATTACTCTCGCAATTACTTTTTACCAGATGTATCGAAATGACTACAAAATGTTTAAAAAATATTCGATTACACGTATTTTGATTACTTTTAAAGGAAAACCGTACTAGTCTGTCGTGTGCCGAATAGACCTATTGGTACATTACCCAAGCATCAAGGAGAATGCAGGGATCGGTGTTCCACGCGCCACACGCGCACGCCTTCCCCATATAAAAGGTTCGAAGTAAAGCGTTGACGATCGTGCGTGCAAGATGCCCTTTGTTTTAGGTATTTGCTTTAAAAAAGTTACTACTGCTGAGGCCAACACGTGCGGCGCGTGGAACACCATTCCCTGCATTCTCCTTGATGCTTGGGTAATTTAGCAATAGGTGAGTTTGCGACCACGTGACTAACCTCCTCAGCGGTCAGGGCTCATCGCTCGCCGAGTTCGCTGTGACTCGGCAAACATGCACGTGTGAAGCGTGCACGCGCGAATCGTTACGCTTGACTACCACGAGCGCCGCACGAAGCCAGCACCTCCCGGACCCACCTGGATCCGGCGGGACCTTTGGTCTCGCCAGCCAATGACTCGAATTTCGCGAAACGTGTGCAGTTTCATTTTATTCTGCAGGGCCGACATGCGGGGCTGTCTATGTACATCGGTTGCGTCTGAGGTAGACGCGTTTCGGGCGGACAACTGGCTTCCGGTCCAGAGAGATTGTTCCGTCGTCGGGGCGTCGATGGTATTAATGCGGCAGCGGATGGATTCCGGGTTAGTTCGCTGGTCGCCGCGTGCCACGGGTCCGGCCTCGGGTGCGGGACGCGGCGCTCGCTGGAGGGGGTCACCACCAGCCGCCGTGGCCGCCCTGCCAGCCCTGCCAGCCGTGGTCGTAGTGCGCGTGCTGGACGTGGGCGTGGTGGTGGCTGCGGACACAGAGCACGGAGAACACGTGAGCGGCGCGGCGTTGCCCTCTCCGGAGCCTCGATGGCTACTTTTCCTTCGGTCAGCTTGGACCGGGAGAAGGGTGACCGGCGCCATGCTCGAGTGATGAGACAGTTTCAGCGGCTACAGGGAACGGGCCTCTTTGCCACCGGAAGTGCGTCACACTCGAGCATCTTATTGGCCGCCTCGAGGCCCGGTGCTCGAGGTGCCCCATTTTTAGGTTGCCTTCCCGCTTTCGAACTTTCCGTACGCGATCTGCGGGTAAAGCATTCTAATAAGCGAGCAACGATGCGGCGTGTGACCCTAGCACTCGGGGGATGTCTCGGGCTCTTGGCCACCGTGCCCTTGGCACAGAGGCTCGAAGGCAGTCTGCGTTTTCTACTGTACATGTTTTTTTTTTTTTTCTTTTTTTTTTTTTGCGAAAACACGGTTTTTGCAACAGTGTTTCGAGAAGGTCCAAGACGGCGAGCTTCACTCACTCTACAAGTTCCGAAAGGACTGACCCGCGTCAGTGGAACGGCTGGGTTTGTCGACGCGCGCAGTGAGGGTCTAGAGGAAGACAACGCCTGCGCATATTATCGTCCTTAGTGGGTCCCCTGCCCAAGACAGGTTGACGAGAGCAGCCGCAAAGCGCGTCCGTCTACTCGCATCGCGCTGGTGAGGCGCTAGCACGCGGTAACACCACTCTCGGCAAGCTTGAGCCTGTCTTGGGGCGGGAATAACCATGGCGTTTGGGGGCTTTGTCTTCGAGGTGGCTGGAGACTTTCGATTGAATCGCGAGATTCCTGTCGGCCGCACTGCCTACGGGCTCCGCTGGTATCGCGAAGCGGTTGCTTTATTGCCCCGGTGCACGCAGCCGTCTGGTTTGGACTGTCGTTGTTTCGACTGAACTAGTTTCGTGAGGCCTATGCGCGGTTCTGGCCGTGCTATTTGGCCGCCGTTCGTTCGCTTGTTACATCTAGTTTCCCTCTAAGGCTAAAGGAGTTCTGATACGCTTCCAGTGACGCTCTGCTGCTGACGCGCACTCCTCTCACGAGGGCACCGGGGCGCACATAGTTTCGTCTCCCCAGTAGGCACAACGTAAAATCGAGGCGCAGCGACGACGCCATTTGCGCGAAACCCTTGACACCCGGGAGGAAAGATTGGCTCTTCGAAGGTGTGCGTATACCGTGGGCGGGCAGTCGGGGCAAGCTGCGGTGGCAGCATCCGAAACCGCCGAGGCCCGGGTGAACAGACTGGCACTCCGAACACAACAGTATGCGGATCGTCGCCAGGTGGGCATTGCCATCTTTCGCCGAGTCGGAACCCCGGCGCTAAATGCTAACGAGTTTCGTCGAGAATCAACCTAGCGACAGCAATGATTTGGAGATCAATTTCCGTGTTCGGGGCGGGACACACCTTTCCTAATCGACCTGCGCTAATGGAACAGGTCGGAAGTGCCCCATCCGCTCCTGTGTGGGTTCCCCGGCGCACTCACCCAACGGCGATGGGGATGGGGATGATGCGCGGCGCCAAGGCGGCTCCGATCAGGCCGTACTTGGCCAGCTTCTTGAGTTTGCCGGCGCTGGCCTCTTGTACCATGAGGGCGGCCAGCAGCGCCGCCACCAGGCACAACATCACTCGGCGGGAAGGGGACATGGCGTAGCTCCTAGATCCCTGCGGGCCTCGACTTTCTGTGCGGGAGATACGCGTGCGCTGGGCACAGGGCGGCCGGGACCCCGTTGCTATAAAAGGCCAGAACCTGGATGTTTAACCTGACACACGCTCTTCCTTCTCTATTTCCTCTCTCCTGTTTTTAAGAGCTAACACGGGGAATCGCTTAGGCACTTAAAACTTCTAGGAATATTTCATTTGGAGGGAGCGGCGTCGGTGCAGCTCGAGTATAGGCTCCGCTTTACGTTAGTTGAGGCGGAGAGGGAGCGCCGAATTACGACACCTGCTGTCTCACGACCACCCTACGACTCCGGTACAGGTGAGCGCGTCTCCAGACAAGGAGGCATCAAACGCTGGGGGCATCCCTGACGCCTATTCGAAAAAGCTTGTCGACTCATTCGACGGGCTAACCTCGGAACTGTGATTGACGCGTTTCCATGGATCTCACATCGCCTGGTTTACGGGAGGAGAGAAAGGAGGGACGCCCGAGACTTAGACGCCTCAGCACGCGCTAGTCTTTAACCGGCACCCATTTACCCGGGAAGCGGAAGAAAGTTTGCGAGCCGGCTGAAGGCGTGAATCCCTGAAGCGGGTTTACCTTTCTGTCCCCCGTAAACCAGGGTGATGTGGCGATTAGGAAAACGCGTCAATCCGAGAGCCGAGGTTAGTCCGTTGACTTGCTCCGCAAGCTTTTCCCATCAGGCGTCCCGGACACAGCGCGGCGGAGGGGCCGCGCAGGAAGGGCCCGATGTCCGCGCTGTTGCGGGTGGAGGGAGCCTCGGACTGGGCTTACCTTGGCAAGCGAGTGGGCAGGAGCAGACAGGTGGCACTTGACTGAGTGTCGGAGGGCGCGGGCGCCTTTTATGGCCCCCGACCACCCCCGAATTCGCTGGCCCCTTCCCAAAAATAGCGAATCAAATCGGATGCTCGGCCTGCCTCCTCTCCCAGCCCTTACGAGAACCCTCCCCTCTTCGGGCCCTCCCTGATGTTAAGCGGCCGCTAACCCACTTCCTTTTTGCCGTCCCTGTTTGCTTTTAAGAGCGCTTTCCAAGTCGGGGCAAGATGGCTGGCAGGGGCCCTGGTCCGTGACGGAAAGCGAAAGTGACATCGCGCCTCTATCCGCCACTTCCACGCGTCACCCCTGGGAAGGCGTCCTCGACCGCCTGATGCCGGGACGCCGCGATGCACCGGTTTCGAGAAGCAGCTCCCGACGCCGCAGCTGCTTTGCTCCGAACACCCGCTTTGATAGGACACATCCTTCGACCAAAGGATCGGAAGGAATACTTTGAGAGCACCAGGTCCGCCTTTGTAACGCGTTTAATGTTCAGGAGGAAAGAGCTGAGGCGAC